GGTGCTGCCGGTGCCAGCGAGCTGCCTCCCCTGGGTGCAGGTGTGCAAGAAGTTGGTGCATCATTTGGGTGCTGAAGCCACACACCCAGCACCTTGTGAGGCTGCTTTTCACCATAGACCGTGCATACAGAGCACAACGCAGCAAACGCTGCAGACAGCCTGACCCCGTCATCCAACTTGGGCACTGAGCTTTGCTGTTGCAAGCCAGCTGCCCCCATGCTGGCAGGGGAACAAAGGGAGGCCTTGTAAACCCAGCTCTCCACTGCTAGTGCTTCAGTTCCTAAGCCCAAGCTAGGATCTGTTCAAGGCAGCCAGTGTATCGCACCCTGCTGAATATCACCCACCTGGAAACACAGACAGCAAGGGAAGACCAGATCCAGGGGAAGTTGTGCCATGTCAGCCACCCTCCATCTTTCTTCTTGCAAAGAGCAAGATGCTTGCTGGAACATGGCTGTGGACGAGGTTAGAAAATGATCCTCTTCCTCCAGCCAAGGTAGCAGGGGTCCTTTCAGAGTAAGGTGCCCAAGAGGGGTCTGCTATTGTGTCTGCCCCCCGATCGGGAGAGCCACCGCCTCCAGGGCATCTGTAGGGCCCAGGCTGTTTTTGCTGTGTGCACAGCTGGTTTTTGCTAGTGACGGGAAAGGCAGACTCAGTTCACTCCCCAGCAGCCATTGGGAAAGGCTCCGTGCTCAGATGCCACCCATCTGGATTTGTACAAGTGGGCCGGAGATAAGCCAGCTCAGGCTCTGTTACTTCCCCCTACGCCCTCCAACCTCAAAGCCAGCGAGATCCAGCCACCCCCACAAGGGAAGAACTCGTTTCCACGGGGGAGGCAATTATGCTAAGCTGGATCAGCGAATGCATTCAAGATGTTAGCACTTGTACCTTCTTGGAATAAGGGGAACCCTCTCACCCCAAATTCGTGAGGCCTCAGCTCATTTCTGGCTGTGACAAACTGGAGAGGGGATGTGATGCTCTTGGATCGTAGGCTGTGGGTAGTTCTCCAATGTGTCTGAGTACACGCAGACTAAAGAAACCAAATTTCGAAACCAGGTAGGTGCCTGTCTATGCAGATAGGAGCTTTGGGAAAGCCCACTAAGCACTTGGGTCTCCCAGCTCCTAAATACCTTGAAAAATTTAGCACCTGCTGGCAGTCGCCACAGATGGGACTTCTGCAGGCTTTTGAAGATGTCACCATTTCCCTTGTGCATCTTGGATATGATCTCCCCTGGCTTTCCTCGACGCGTGCTAACAACCCACTTCCAGCAAATTGGAAACAGGCAACTGCGATCCGTCTGGCTCATCTTGCCAGCCCTTGCCCCATGACAGGCCCGGAGCTATAAGCCAAGGAAAAGGAAAAAGAATGACCAACGCCGGACATTTTGTAATCAATGACTTTTTTTAATCTTTGAAAATGGAAGCAAATATTTGGACAGAATACTCTGCTCGCTCTATAAGAGCACATCTCTCAATACTTCGCTGGTTCTCTTCCGGGATATCACGGTTAAAAAAAAAAAAAGCTTCAGGCACTGACTCTGGCTGAGCCTGGCTAGGCATCATCAGTTCATTTAAATAAAATACAAGCTAGTAACTAAAAAAAAAAAAAACAAAATCAAGGAGGACCTTTCCCTGCCCCCTCTCCTTAAAACCGCCAACCTTGCACGAACGCTGCTTGGGCAGTAAAACCTGGCATTTCAGAAACTTCATTCCCATCGATTAAAAGAACAACACGTCCCTAGCGCACAACCCTGAAGTCAGACGTACAGATTGACATGGAGATTTCTACCCGGGAGGAGTCGTGCTCAGCTGTTTCACGAACGGCCCCCCCACAATCTGCTGCAGTGAAAAACCACCCAAATGTTCAGAGCGTGCTGAATGCCCGGATTGCAAATCCAACCTTTAGTCAAACTCCAGCAAGTTTTCTTCAATGCGCAAGGCGAAGGATGTTCGCCCTGCTGCTCTGCTCACTGCTTTCTTAAAGAAAAAAGATATACCCATCACTACCTTAATGAAGCTTTCCATCCTGTGGAACTGTACACGTTCTCTGTCCTTTCACATCAAATGGCTTGTGCTTCACCAGCTAACAACATCACTTGACTGTCCCAAAATGGTACGACTTCACATTGTCACAAACACTCACAGCCTTCCAGAACAGAGAATCCTTAATCGTTAAGTTTTGAACATGCAAATACAAGAAAACGGAGAACTTGAGAAAGTCTAGCTAACCTAGGGGAGAAGATGACCAGAGCGCGCTCTGGGAAGGAATGCAGACCCACCACATTCAAAGGCTGTCTTGTGGAGGAGACTCCCGAAGGGTCAGCTGGGCATGTTGGCATGTGTGTGTGCGTGCACGCACACAGGTGTATGTGTGGGGTGCACACCCTGCAAGCGTATGCAAATGTGCATGGATAAAGCTGCAGTGAGGCGACCCAAGGGTCGAATCTGAAGGCGGAAAGGGCATTTGAGACTCATCAGCTGACTTTCTGCTACGGGCTTTCCTCCGTCGCACAGGCCGGCTTCACGTTTGCCAAAAGGAATCAAATGTGTGTCGTTCCACCTCCCGCCCTCCCAAGCGCTGCTGGAACGGCTCGTCACGACGATGGGTGGGCTCCGCGGAGTTCACCGCCCATTGCAGCAAACCATGCTGGACCACGAGACATCTGACGTGCTTCAGCCCAACAGGTGTTGAACTTGGTCCAGCTGGAATACGAAGCAGGGGTCCCACTGTTTGTCACCTGGTGTCAAACACCCCTCTGTGTCGTACAGCGGAGCCTCTTGCACAGTCCTGCATCCAGGAAACCATACTGGGGAGGCTGACTTGTACATAACCTTTCACTGGAGGATCTCAAAGGCAACAAATGAATTGCGGGCCAAAAATAAACTTTGATTGCAACAGGGCTAGAGACAAAGGCCACTTACATCATGGGAAACCTTCAGTTCCCTGGGATAAGATTTTACTGTAGCTGGTGGGGTTGCAAGGCAGGAGTGGCAAAGGGAGAAAAAGGGGCTGGAGAGGTTGAGGAGGGTGGGAAGGATTGAGATCTGTCACACTATAATCACCCAAGCTGCTTTTAATGCTGCTTTGGAAGCAACCTCAGGACTGAAAGCTCTCACACCAGCATCAAAACAGGGGCAAAAGTACTGTCAGCTCACAGATTTAAATGCTTCTTAGCCTAGGAGTTACCGGGGAGCCTTGCTGCTCTAGTACAGATGAACAATATTCACTGGAACAGCCAGCATGGACAACTTGACTACAGGCTACCATCCCATCAGCTTGCAAGATGACCCTTCAGGGTATTTGGCTTAAGATATTTCATTGCACATCCTAAACCTAATGTTCAGGTGATAAATAACACAAACGTCTTTTGTGTAAATGCATTTAGGCCTTTAAAAAAAAAAAAAAGAAAAGAAAGAAAGAAAAGAAAAGAAACACAGCCAACAACACAACATGCCCTTGTGACAAGGTCAAAATAATCCAAAGCACGGGGCAACTGCAGAACAGCAACACGACTCCAGGACATGAGATCATCCCACTAGCACGCAGAAATAGGGAACGAGCTTTGTAGTGACTTGAAGCTACTTCACTCTGAAACAAGCAGGCAGCAGTGGTTGGGGACACATTAAAAAAATAAAAATAAAGGCAGTCAAGTCAGCTCAGACGGGTTTATGCAGGGTCTTTACAACAGCTTCGTCTACACCGCAAACAAAACGGATCCGATTGTTCAAAAGGAAAAAAAAAAGAACGCTCATACAAAATAGCTTCAATTTTGTCCTCTGAAACAGTATAAACACACACACACACACACACACACACACACAGACAGAGTCTCACGCACACACAGTGCTGCCCCTTCCAATTAAAGGAAAAATAAAACCAACCCACAAATACTGCAAAAATGGCATACAGGAAAAATGTAAAAAGTTATTTTGAGGGGGTGTGTTTGGGGTTTTTTTTGGCAACTTAAAAAACTCATTAAGAACAATATGGCATTGGTCCCTAATTCTATTTTTAAAACAAGCTATTTGGGCACTCGGTGGAAAGTTGGAATCATTTGTCCTCAAGAATTCAGAACACCTGCAGCAAGATTGTAAAAGTAGCACTTGATCTTTTAAGTCTGACAAAAAAAAAAAGTCACATAAAATCATTAAAACATCAGGAGGAAAAAAAAAAAAAAAAAAAAATAAAAAAAAAGGGGGAAAAAAAAAAAAAAAAAAATAAAAAAAAAGGGGGAAAAAAAAAAAAAAAAAAAAAAAAACCTCTCGCTAAAAAGCTTGGCTTTTAATCGTCGGCTTTCGTTGACCTTAATTTCGGAGGATGGTAAAGTTCGTATCACAATGCTGCCCAGTGCCGCTCGACGAACCTCGGAAATGGAATGTCTTCTTGAATGGCAGTGCCTCCCCCAGCCCTCCCGCAGCCCTGCACCCAGCTAACAGCTTGAGTTCTGCTCCCTTTGCTCTCTCCCGCCGGCGCTCAGTTTGCAATCTTCGCCATCTGCTGTTCTAGCTTGGAAATGCGCTCATCTTGATTGGAGATTGTGTCTTTTATAGATTTGAGCTCTTTCAAAATCTCGTCCAATTTGGCTTCATTTTGCTGGAACAAAGAAAAGCGCCGGTTAACGCTGCGGGGAGGGGCTCGGCACGCTCGCGTTTGGGGTTTCCAAAGCACGCAAAGGGTCTTGCCGATGCAGGGCTGCTGCGTTAAGGAGCGTGGTGCTCGCGGGCTAAAAGGCAGGGTTCGAACACAAGGCAACGTGCTAATGGCGTGGGTCTCGACGCAGGAAGACCCGTACTTCTGGTGGAATTAGTGCCCTCTTGGGAAAGGACGGGAAGGGTTGAGGTTTGCGCTTTTTGATAGAGCTCTGCTCATTAATAAGCACCGTTTTGGTCTCCTGACAAATGCTCTGAAAGGACTCTCACAACCAGCTACTGCTCTGGTGCATCAGGCCCAGCTCCCAGACCATGGGGCTCTCTCCTCAGGAGACCCACTTTGTCAGGGGTTGTTTTGCCTGATTTTCTGTGTCTGGCTTTAGATAAAGGATGGCCTCATCAGTGAAGATCCACGGCTCTTCACTTGATCAAGTGGCTCTCTTTGAATAGCTCATGAAACAAGCTTTGTCAGGGTCCACCGCCCCTGGGAAGGAACACAGAGCAAGATCTTCAAGGCCATGCCAGGTCCAGAAGACCCACCCTACCAACCAACACAAAATCCCTCTGCCAAAGCTGCCTTGAGGGAATGTAAATACCTCAGAACAGAGGATGGGCCAGATGCCAGGCCTGGCCTGGCCCTCCTGTGTCAAAGGTGCACAGGGACCCTCTCCAGCTACAGCTGATCTTGGATGTACCTCTCATGCAGAAAACCAACATCTCCAGCAGCCGCCTGACATGTCTCCTACACCCCGTGCCCATCCCTGCAGTAGGCAATGCTATTTCTACTGCTGCAGAGGCTTGGGGGCTCCAGCTGCATCTCAGACACCAAAAACGGGTGGCCCATGGCTTTTACTCACAATGTTTGAGGTGTCTACTGCTTTCTTTGGGGCGGTGATGAGGTCGCTCTTCTTGTTGGCGGCAGGTTTGTTGTCCAGTATGTTCTTCTTAACCACCTTGAGGTCCCTGTTTTTGCCGGGAATGTACCCATGTTTCAAGGAAATGAGGATCGGATCAGCGTTCTTCCCCTCGAACCACTCTTCTGCTTCCAGAGCCGCTTCCGGGCCAGCCGTGTCAGGATACAGGTCATCTTGGAAGAGGTCCGACTGAAAGCCAGAAGAGGACACAAATGGTCAGATGCTTTTGGCTGGAAGGCGCAAGGCGGCTTCCCTTGCCTGGCTGCCGGCGGGACTCACCTTTCGAGGGACCGTCATGATGATGGGCTCACACTTCCGCTCGTGGAGCTTGAAGAACCTTTGGAAGAAGGAAGAAGAGTTAGTTGCAGCCAAGCTGGTGTGGAGCACCACGGCTGGGCTCCATCTTTCTAGTCACCTTCAGGGCTGGGTCACACCCGTGCCGGCACCGGCATGACACGGGGGGCCCTGATACATGTCTACCTTCCCCCTCTGTCTTTATTACAGACCATCATCCATTAAGCCACTAAGATGGTCTCTCCTCCTTGTCATGGTTTGTTCACTTGGCAGTGATCTTTGTAAGCTATAGATTCATAGATTCATAGATTAAGGTTTGGAAGGGACCTAGTAGATCTTCTAGGCCGACCCCCCGCCAGGGCGGGAGAACAACAAAAAACCCCAGAAAGAGAAACGGGACTCAAATGAGTCCAGCCAGGTAGGCATCCAGCCTCTTCTTAAAGACCCCCAGGGTAGGGGCCAGCACCACTTCCCTTGGAAGTTGGTTCCAGCTCCTAGCCGCCCTAACTGTGAAGTAGTTTTTGCGGATGTCCAATCTATACCTCCTCTCCATCAACTTGTGCCCATTACTCCTTGTTATGCCAGCGGGCGCTAGGGGAAACAGCGTCTCCCCCAAACCCTTCTGGTCCCCCCTAGTGAGTTTATAGACGGTCACCAGGTCCCCCCTCAGCCTTCTCTTGTGGAGGCTGAATAGGTTCAGGTCCCGCAGTCTCTCACTGTAGGGTCTGCCCTGTTGTCCCCGGATCATGCGGGTGGCCCTCCTCTGGACCCTCTCCATATTGTCCACATCCCTCTTGAAATGGGGCGCACAGAACTGGACACAATACTCCAGCTGTGGCCTGACCAGCGTTGCGTAGAGGGGGAGGATCACCTCCTTGGCTCTACTCGAGATGCACCTGTGGATGCATGACAAGGTCCGGTCAGCCCTGCCAACCATGACCTCGCATTGTCGGCCCATGTTCATCTTGGAGTCAATAATGACTCCAAGATCTCTTTCTGCCTATGTCAGCATTTCCTAGCTCACCCAGCGCTGCTGTACTATTCAGGACCCAGAACCCATTTCTCTCCTAAGCTCAGACAGCCGCCTTTGTGTGCACGAGAAGATTTTTATTAGACAGCTGAAGAGACCGCTTTCACATGAAAGTCTGCAGAGATAAATGAGGTTTAGACTTGACCTGAGACTGACCCTGGGTTTTTAATCGAGGTGGACTGTAGCCAGTTTGCTCTGTCAGAAGCTGCTCATCAATTTGTTACGGTTCTAATTTGAACGCTGACCCACTTCCAGTTCAGTTCAGACTGTATTATCCCCAGGGCAGGTATCCATGGTATCGCGTGTCACTAGGAGCGAAGGCTACTGACAAAACAGTGGCAGGATGTGAAGCTGTCTCCTGCCTCCCTAACATGGGCTCTCTAAATCCATCTCTTGCTATCTAGGCTGAAAGGATCTTTTAGTGCTGCTTTGGGTGCCAAGTGGGTCTTTAGCTTGAGTGAGGTTACTTCACAGCACCGCACAGTGTCTCACACTGGAGCCGAACGCAGGATTCTTAAGCAGCAGAGACGTCATGGGCTGCCTTGCTGCTGCCTGCTCCTTCCACGGGTGCCTCTTACCTGGCAATCTCACACTTGTTCACATCAAGGCCCCTCTTTGGCATGAACCCCATCCCTCGCTGCGGCTCTTTGCTGCTGAAGGTATTGAGGTAGTGGACGTACGGGGATTCATCTGTAATCTCGAAGTAGCGAATGCTGCTGTCACCCTGCAAGAAATCAGAGAAGGAAAATTAGAAGGCCTCTGCTCCCTGCTAAGCAACAGGGGGTTAAGAACACACGAGTAGCTCCTTTCCCCTACAGGGCACCACAAAGCTAGGCTGGGGTCTCCTTTGGTTGATCTCTAGCTCTGAAGAGGAAATGTCCAGGCAACACATCAACTCCCTGCCTCCTCCTATATTTCCTGTGACAATGCAGAGCAGGCTGCAAAACATCAGGAGTCCAAAGCTGCCATGAGTGAGGCAATGCTGAAGAAGCATGCACACTGGGAAGGCAGCGCTGAAGGGGTTCAAATGCAACAGCCAGGGGAGCTTGTACTGCAAGGGAATATTCTCCCAGAGCCCGATAACCTGGCCTTCAAGCAGCCCTGTGTGAAAGGAGAGACACACCAGGAACAACTGTCCCATGAGTAATGCATGTTTTATAGCTAATTTCCTCCAGCTAAAGCTTCTATCGATCATCGGGCTAACAGGCCTCGTCCCGGCCTGCTCAGAACTGTCATCACCAGGCAAAGACCCATTACCCCATTATCGTAAAGCCGTGTAATGGTTGTCTGAACAGCATCTCACTGGCCTGTGGCAACGAACAGTGATATCAGCACCCCCTTGGAGACCAGGGACCTCCGCGGCTCATTTCCAGCTTCTACCCCAGCTACAGCAGGGATTGATGAGATAACTCCCTGCCTCAGTTTCCTCACAAGCAAACTGCGGCGGGGGGAAATGCTGCCACTTTTCCTAGAAAGGTATGGGAAGTGTCAGCTGTTTGCATGGCACTTTGAAAAGGGAAGTGCTGAGTGTTATCTGACAGCACAATATGGAGGCTTTCTTGTTGCAACAAGGATTTCACTGACAAACAAAAGCCTAATCAGCTGATGGCCGGCATGTGCGGTTGACAAGGACAGGAAACATCTGAGTCTGGGTGGAAGGAAAGGCTAATACTATGCGGTGCCCGGAGGTATTGGACAGGAGGCTGGAAACCATTATTCCTTGTTGGCTCCAGAGGGATCTAGGACTCCAGAGTCACAGCAGCACTGGGAAAGGAGTGTCCTTCGATAGCACAAAAATACTCCCTCTGCTAGCATGGATCCTAATCTTTAATCTTGCTCATCTTTGGCTACTTAGAAACCAGAGAAAATGAGGGTTGGAAGGGACCTCAGGAGGTCACATCTAGTCCAGTGCTTTTCAACTGGCGTGCCACGAGAAGTTTGGACTAACGAGAAGAAAGTTCTCCAGCCACCTAGTGCTGGTGAATAAGCCACGCCAATGAGATATTCAGAGAAGACCTGCGCGCATGTTGGCTGTGGAGGAGAGAGAGAAGCAGCCGATCAGAAGGGAATTCATCTACTGCATGTGTGATGGTTGTGGGGGATGCTCAGTTTGCAAGCCTCTGAACTGCTGTGCTGTGGATTTTTGCTGTGGCAATGAGCTACAAGGAGCTCATAAGTATAGGGATGGCAAATGGAAAATTTGTATTAATGTAAGTGTGCCTTGGGCTGGAAAAGGTTGGGACACACTGCTACAGTCCAGCTGCCTGCTCAAAGCAGGACCATCCCCAACTAGATCATCCCAACCAGGGCTTTGTCCAGCCGGGTCTTAACAACCTCCAAGGATGGAGAGTCCACCACCTCTCTGGCTAACCTGTTCCAGTGTTGTACTAATCTCCTTGTGATAAAGTTTTCCATAATATCTAACCTCAACTTCCCTTGCTGTAACTTGAGACCATTGGTTCTTGTTCTGTCATCTGCCACCACTAAGACCAGTCCAACTCCATCCTCTTCGGATCCACCCTTCAGTTGAAGGCCATTCAGTTTTTACTTCTCCAGACTAAATAAGCCCAGTTCCCTCCACCTCTCTTCACAAGTCGTGTGCCCCAGGTCCTGAACCATTTTTGCAGCCTTCCACTGGACTTTCTCCAATTTGTCCACATCCCTTCTGTAGTGGGGGCACCAAAACTGGACACGGGACTCTAGATGTGGCCTCACCAATGCAGAATACAGGGAAATAATCGCTTCCCTTGATCTGCCGGCAACACTCCTACCAATGCAGCCTAGTATGCTGTTAGCCTTCTTTGCAACAAGGGCACACTGCCGGCTCATAGGAAGCCTGCAGCACCTACAGCTCTGAAGGAGCCAACTTTAACAAAGACAAGTCTCATTTCCCAGTGACTGGCTCACAGGCATTGAAACTGGCCTTGCCACATGTTCAGTCATTTGCAAAGTGCATGACGGCACCCTCTACGTGCATCTTTGTTTAACATTAAGAGAGGGGTCATTACAGACCAACGTCAAGAAGAGAGGCAGGCCTGGGCAAAAGGAAAAAAGTCTGACTCATGTTCTTAGGCACAGCTCTGCTTGCCTAAATAAACCTTTCCCCAGATCAAGGTCAGATCAGAGGCTTTCCTGTAGTCTGGCTGGTTGGGATCTTGATAAATACTTAATAGAGTAAGGACACTCGCTTTCAATCCAGACACAAGGTCCCACAGGCCTAAACTCTCCTGCAGCCTTGAAAAATTCGTGAGGTGCTAGCTTTTGTTTCTCGAGGAGTGGAGAGATGAAACAGATTACAGCACTTTAAAGGGTGCCAGGGCAAAACTATGGTAACACTTTCATCTCTCAGCTCCTACCCCATGGCAAGATAAAAGGTAAACCGAGGCAGCTAACCCCTGAAATGAAACATGGTTAAGCTACCACGATACAGCTTCAAATTCTGTGGGTTAGAAATGGATGGACAAAGCAACTGCATCGGATCAGCAGATGCATGCTTAAAAGTGACAGTCGCTATTAAAGGACTGTAACTGTTCATCTGCCCACACACATTTTTTCCATCTTTGGTTTTGAAGGAAACGTTGTAGACAAGTTTCCTACGGAACAAATGATGCTGCGTGAATGAGCCTCACTAAATACTGCTTTCCTGGCCCCATGTGAGCACTAGGGCTGCAGCTGGCTGCAGTGCTACAACTTCAATGCCTTTGGACGCTGCTCTTTACCTTGCCGCACAAGTAAATGATATTGGTGTCTGGGTCGTAGAAGGGCAGCAGCACCCCGTTGCTGGTGTCCATTTCATGAAGGGCGATGGGCTCTTCCATATTTTTCTGCAAATGAGAATTTGAACCATACGATTAGAAAACAAAAACACCCCATTGTCGATGCGCTGCCTACATTCTTTGCAATTACAGTCACAGAGGGCTGATGCTTCTTCAAAGGGCCACGTGTTACAGCAGCTTGCGCTAAGCAATTACAGGCCGGTTGATTTCCAGATGTTAAAGCCCCAAAAGAGATCTGAGCCACAGTCATATTCTGAAGTCAGCTGCACAGATAAGGACCTACTGGTCAACTGTCGGCGGGGCACCATCTCAGGCTGGTACATGAAGTCTTTGGGGACAAAGTGGCCTTCTCCAAAGACCATTGCTCTTTTACGAATCACCCGATCTGTTCAGTGATAAATGCCACTTCCAGTATTGAGCTACATTCTTGGAAGGACACCAGAGTCCTCCTCCAAGCACAGGAGAGGTCATCTTAGTGACAGACAAAATGTTACACCCAACCATCCCAGTGATCTCCGTTGGTGTAACAAGGAGATGCTGGATTAGACACCTGGAGGAAGGGGGACTACAACCCCACCATCCAAACTGAAATGTCACAAGCGCTGGGAGGCCCATTGTGGCCAGGAACTCAACCTGACACAGGGCTACAATTCACCAAAAGGAAGAGCAGTCGAGCAGGGCACATACTGGATTCCACAGGGCAAGCTGCCGCTCGCTCATGCGGCTGAAGCCGGTGGTGAAGATGTTGCCGTCGGAGAGGAAAATGGCTCTCATGGGTCGCGCTCCCTCGTGGGCCTTATCTTTCTCCTGCAATAAAAGTGTGGGGAGAAAAAGCACTTTCAGCATCAAACAGAAATCCCAACATGTCAGAGATGAACTCAAATTTGATTTGGAGTTGCCTGGAATCCCACGGCTCAAAGAGATCAAACATGTATCCCAAGGTAGTCAGTGTTACACCAGCACAAAATAAGCAGTGAACAGATGAGACAAAAAACAATAAAAATAAATTAAAAATTAAAATCAAACTTCCCCTTGAATCTGGGGTAAAAGCTACCGGTGTAAATTTATATTGCTTTGAGTTTCATCTGTCCATGTCATGGGCAGGTGTCTGCTCACCTGGCACCTAGTGCTGAGATGCAGTACTGGCTACCCCAAGACAGCTGCACGTGTGCCCCCTCTTGATGCGTACCATTCCCCTATGCAGCCAGAGAAAAGTGACCCACGCACCAGAGCTCAGTGCTCAAGGGGAGGCATTAATTACTAATGTACAAGAGAAGCGGCAGCTGCTCAGCTCCACTTTCCCTAGCAGGCAGCATCACACACTGTTAAAAGCAGGATCAAAACAAAATTGATTTTTGAGCCATGCCATAGCCCATGCCAATAAAACAGGCAGGCCACTAACTTACCATTGGCAGCCTCAACTCCAGTACCACAATTGTGCATGAAATTAGGTGTGAAATTATATTGGTGCCATTTTAAAAACTGGACTTCAAATATAGGTAACTCCAGCATGAACCTTAATCAAGGGAGACAAAATCCTACAGGACCTCTCCCCTTCCTGTAATTTTTCCGGGTTTAAGCAAAAATCTCAGCCACACACTCCCCCCCCGCCACCACCACCACAGTCTCTTCTCTAGATGCTGTTGCAAAGCACCCGTGGCTGGGAAACTACATTGATTTTACAACGCCGCACATACTCACAGCAACGATTTCTTGTTTCCGGGGGTCGATGACCCGGACTTTTTTGTCCTTGGAAGCTGTGCAGATCAGGCTGCCGTTGCGATTCCAGCTTACATTGTAAATCATGTCCGAGTGCATGTCGTCCAGGTTGATGAGGGGTTCGCCCGTCCCCACGTTCCAGATGATGACTACGTTATCGCAACCTGGAGGAGGAAAGCAGCTATATATGAAGCACCCGAATATTGGCACGTGCAGCACACAGGCCCGCCTTTAATGCGTTTTAAAAGCCATTTCCAGCTGTCTCCCTTCTCTGGAGGAAGCAGCAACTCAATCTGCAGCCTGCTTCACTGCAAAGGCTCCCCAGAACAAAGAGACTCATCAGTTCACATGGCTTTAAGATGTGCTGCCAGTGTTTCCCTAGCACAGCTCTGTCATGACCAGAAGAGGACTGCTCTCCTTTTAAGAAGACATCTAGCTGAAAACATCCAAACCAGAACTGTTGCTGCCTACACGTGCATTTGAGATGAGGGGGTGTGTTTGACGGGAACATCACGGCACGCGGTCAATGCCACACAAGACTCGGAAGAGACGGCCCCACGGTGCAGAGTGGCGCCTTCAGGCAGCCTCATGCCATCTCTTCCCAGCTCCTGCGATTCAAGAATAAGAGGGGACGGATTGAAACGTGTAAGCAGCTCCGGGAGAATTCACGCAAAACCTTTAATGAGGATTATCAGCGGATTAGGGGGATAAAAAATTGATATAAATTAGTAAGCAGGACATGAAGACTATCTGAATAGCTGAGTGGCAGGCTGCAGAAAGGCCAGTGCCGGCTGTTGCAGAACATTTCTATTTGCTTCAGTGACGATGGTGCAGACCAGCTGGGGGAACAGCCTATGGAAACTGCTTTGGTCCATGTTGTGCTCAGCTCAGTGGGGCTTTTATGGATCTACCTTGGCCAAGAATACCCTTGACAACCAGGGGCAGAAGGCAAAGTACCACTTCTGGGCATTTCAGCTGCCTGCTACATCACTGAGCTTGCATTACCCCCAAACCATGTGCTGCACCTGATCTTTGGCCGGGGTCCGTCCAGAAACACGGCCACCCCAAAGGCTTCCCTCATGTCCTCCCACATCTCTGCCACGAGCTCTACAGCTTGACAGCCCTTGATTGCTATCCCTACCGCACTTCCAGCTTCCATTTGGCCCCTGGTTGTGAGAGCAGAGGCTTTCACCGAGCAAACGGCCTTTTCCATGCTGGCGAGAATGCTCTGCACACATGCAGCATGTGTCGCCTTCAAAGCACCCTGGACACATGGGTATCGGGTCCCTCCACATGGGAAGGAAGTGATGGCCAGGTTTTGTCCTGCACCCAGTTGCACTGCAGGCATCTCAGCCCCTTGTCTGCCTGCCATCCTCCCCCGCCCCCTCCTGCCTCTTCCCCACAGCATCCATCTTCTGCCATAAAGACTGACTCGTGAGCTGCTGAGCCCCGGCTGGGTCCTGCAATTCAATGTGCCAATGCACCACGACCGCACCCCCAGCATGGCAAGGGGAGACACCAAAGCTCATTTAGGAAGGAGGAAACTCAGTCTCCTCCCCGAACCCCCATGGGTCCCCACAGTGCCATGCTCCCAGCTGGAAATGCTCAGCCTGAAACCCTCGATGCCTGGCCTAGGATGCACCATATGAATGACTCTGGGTCCTCAGATGTTGAAAGGCTTCTGGGGAAAAGCCTCAGGGCCCCTGCCTCTTAGAAAATCGCTTTTGTGCC